CGAGCATTGAGCCATCTAGACGATCGCAAGTACCTCAGAATTTATTCAACAATACAAGAGAGGCCGTGCCTCCTCTAAATCTCTATCATGTCTGCTCTTTACTCTGGGCGTCAAGGTCCGACTTACGAAGACCGGCAAAGCTACGAGAGCGACGAAATCAGCCTCTTGTATCGTCAAGCAATCCATTCGCTACACAACGAAGGACCCGATGGACAGGGCGCTAACGCACCTGCTCCGGGTAATGCATATTCTCATCCGAATACCAGCAATATGCAGTACAATCCTCAAGGAACTGCCTATCCAGGTCAGTTGGTATTTGATACAAGCTGGAATGTTGCTGATAAATCCTTTACTGTTGAACTCTAACTCATCCATTATGTCAAAAGCCACAAATGGCGACTATGGCACCCCTGTAGCACATCCTACTCAACTTGCCCCATCTTTCAACCAGACTCAGGGTGTTCCGGCCCCAAGAGGAGGTAGATCGCGGCCCCTCCCTGCCGTTCCAGGTGGCGCTCCGAACAGACCTCAAGTTCAAGTACCAGTACCTCCCTCCAGTCAGTATGGAAGTGACTATAAAGCCCCTCTTCCTGGCATGTCACAGTCGTCTCATGGGGATGATCAGTATTCTACCCCGGCGCCACCTTCACATATCCCTCTGAAGCAACCTCCTGTCGATGCCGAGTACCCACGCACCCATTTGACTCAGGATTCCTACTCTAGCCAGCCAAGACATCGAACACAAGATTCCGGATTCACGGACAGTAACTCGAGCCACCTATCCTCCTACCACCAGTTCGACAGCCCATATTCAGTGGGGGGCAATTACGATAATCAGCATAATCCATACCCTAATGGCCCGCCAAGCCATCAGCACGCTGATCCCAGCGCTTATCATCAGAACAATCCGACTAAACTGGCCCTGAGTCACCCAGACATCATGAATGACTTTACGCAATCAATGGATGACCACAGAGGAGGAACGATGTCAACTAACCTGACGGGCTCCTCTTCGTACTCGGGCGAGGCTCTGTTGTCTGGGCTTGGCGGTGATCCTAAAATTGAACAATACAGGCCCCATGGCCAAGGATCGTTCTTGCCTGCTGAATCGCCCTCTTCTGCTCATCAAATTCATTCCTCTCCGATCAATGCACAAACCAGTGAAGATGTTGGCACAGAATTGGGTAGTCATCTCTTGAGATCCACTTCCACCGCATCTTCCTTCAACTCGCTGTTACAAGAGCCCAGACGCTCGCCGACCTTTGAGGACGGTTTGCTCACACCAACACTTTCACGAGCCGATTTATCTCTAGAGGCTTCCGTCCCTCCATCTCAAACGTCTCATTCATACGCTTCAAAATCGTACCTATTTGATAGGGATACGTATTCTTCGAATCTCAGCTATGGTACTCCTGCCATCATAACCACCTCTGCGGACGTAGCGCCGAGCTCCAGCCGCCGCCGTCATCAGCAAGAATACCAAAGAATGGCTTCGATGAAGGGTCCCCTAGGCCTTCACGCTGATGAAGAGGAAGAGGAAGAAGATGAAGAATTAGAGGAGGATAGATTCGTCAATCTGTCTTTACTTTCCCATCTTGCAAATAGGCTTAGAGATCGTATACCCAGAGGTACACACGTCAAAGGGAGTATCCCATATCCAAGGGCGTTCACCGGCAAAGACATTGTGGTAAGTCAATTTCGTCGGTCCCTCTCTGAACCTGTGTTGATGTGTTAATTGATAGTCGACAATACAAACACTGATCCAAAAAGAATTCCAAACCAATATGGGGTTCGTGATAACGGACAGAAGAGCGGCCCTTCAAGTAGCCAGGAGCTTACAAGGGCAATTGTTCTTCTATGAAGTCGAATGGGGAGGTAGACTACTTCAAGACGGACTTGAAGATGTCTACATGTTTTTGGATGATAACCCTGCTAGTGAAAGCTCAAATGCAGAATATAGACACGATCGAGTGGAAAGAGAAGAACTCCCAACTGGTGTCATCACACTTTTGACAAAATGCTATGCGCCCAGTTGTCAGGAGGGGTCTCCTTGCTATACTTATACTTGTCCGAGACGCACTACAGTGAGTTTACCTCATCTCCTCGTGATGTTTTTTGCTCATAACAAATAGGCAACGATGCTTGAGGGCATGTTTACTGGACACACGGCCGTCCCCGAACCTGTGCCGGATGTAAGTTGTGGTTTCTCTCCTAGATATCGAGTTTATGAACTGAGTGCGGTATAGACTCCATGGGGAGAGATGGTCGACAAGCAAACACTCAACTCTTTGCCGGAAGCAGAGATTCGTCGGCAAACGTCAGTCTAACTTTAAATATCAATCGAGAAGAGAATTGACATATTCTACAAAGAATTATCTCCAAGGTCATCATGAAGGAGCAGCAATATGTCCAAGACTTGGATTTGATTGAAACGGTCCGTGCCCTCTCGTCACCAAGCACTTGTATAGATTTCCTAACCGAGAAATAGATTTTCATCAAGGAGTTGCGACGAGCAACCCCCCCAATAATTGCTCCAGAAAACCTGGAAGACTTTATCTCAGAGGTTTTCGGTAACTTCTTCGAGCTCCGTCAATGCAACAGACGTATTCTAGACGTCATGCTTGTGCGACAGCGCGAACAAGGTCCCATCATCCAGAGGATAGGCGATATTTTCCTAGGAGCAGCTGCAGAGTTCCGCTCCGTCTATCCATTATATGTGGGAAACCTACCTGTTGCCGAAAAGAGAATCAAGGAGGAAGCAGAAACCAACCCCACATTCAGGAGGTTTTTAGAGGTTTGTATTTTTGACACTGGTCCCGTACTATCGTTCATTCGTTACTTTAGCAAAGCTCCAGGCAGGATACCCGTGGACTTGACATGAAGCATTTTATTTATCGGCCCTCGGAACATTTGCAAAAGTATCCCGTCCTGCTGGAGGCTATCTTCAAAGAAACCGCAGAGGGTAACCCGGATGCAGACTTTTTGGTCGAAGCCGAGCAGGCGATCCGTAATCTATCCACAGTTGCC